AGGATTACTTTTTAGCTGTATAACATTTTATAAATTTACAAATCACTTTACTTGTAATTAATTTAATATTAAAATATACATTGTATTTCTTTTACAAATACAGGTTATTTCAATTGAAAGATTCAAGCATGGAAAGCTTGATTACAATCATGATGTAAAGCTACATTACATACTTTGCATCTGTAAACAGTCTGGCTATGGTACTCTTTACAACAAAGTCTTTTGTTATCAATGGACTTTACGATAAAATGTCTACCATCTCCATGCAATGGTTTTTGAATGCTGAATTTACTAGGTCTTCCTGTTGCTGATCTATTTCTGGTGAATTTTACACTCTCAATAGGAGTTTGCAAAAGAAATAATGCATTCTCGCATCTGAAATCTGAAAGCGACTTTATATATCCAGTAGTAAAAAGTGGTAATATTTAGTAAGTTTAGATACGGTCTCACCTCATATAATTTATCAGTATTGTCAAATACAAATTCTGCTTCTTATTCCTGTACTGCAAACGTGATATTGATTTTCGTACAACAGGTCCTTATCAAAAATCAGAAATGTCCTTATCAAAAGACCAACACATTTTTTCTTGAGGTAAAGAATAATATCCTGTAAGCAATAATATTCCAATAAACCTTCTCATATAGGCTTCAGATGCAATAATTTTTTTTGTTTTGTTTGTTTGTTTGTTTGTTTTTTCTGAGCGTATATATTTGTCTGTTCAACGAGAAGAGAGTAAATGTCTAAACCAAAACGAAAATCGAAAATACTAGTTTTACCTTGTATTTTGTCTTTTATAATTTCTCTCTATCTCGTTCTTCATGTTCTTCCTGAGACAAAACTAACAGTTCCTTTTTTGTCCACCTCAAGATTTCAATCTTCTGCTTTTTAAATTTTTTACTATAACTATAACTGCTTTTAGAAGGCTGAAACTTACTTCTTACGTGAATTTCAACTTCCCCAGCAGTATCATTTGGTAAAATATCATGATCATTATTTAAAACATTGCCATTCCTTTCTTCTTCGTCACTAGTTTTTTCAATTTCTGGGGATCAACAACAATATCAGTTTCATTCTGGTCATTATTAGCATTATCATCATCTGTTTCTTCATCAAAAAAAAATCTTTGAAGGACTTCTTCTAATGTAAGATACCTCGTTCCAGGCATTTTTAAATAACCAGAACATGAACCAGAACATCGAAAGGAATGAGTGAAAAATGAGATTGACTACCCGTTTCCTGCTGACGTTGCGTCAGCGCAACACCTGTTTCCCTTCCTTCCCAACACAAATATAAGCATCTGACTAATGTAATGTTCTGATAAACGGTGACTTTGACTAAAAATAGATCTCTCATAAAGACGGCGATTCTTTCGTTAAATATTTTCAGCAAAAATATCCGGTCGAAAATTTTGCTTAAAGTTTGAGGTTAATTATTATAAACAAAATGATTGTTGAAGGCAAATATTTTTTTACAGAAATAATCTTCATAATATTCCCTACATAAAATCATCTGCTGGTATAAAATATCTTAGGTAGTTATATTTATATACGCATTTATTTTGACCGTTGCGTCAACGCAACACCAGCGGCTAATGGGTTAGCCTCATCATCTTGAACCCGAAACACCAAGGTTTCTTCAGACCACTTCAGTCAGTGAACTGTGCGCGTGTCTTGTCTCCCCTGCCAAAATGTCACGATGGGACTTGACGTTAGCTGAAAAAATTGGTTTCCTGGATAAGATCAAGCAACAACCACGAAACACTAGTCAGCGTCGGTTGGTGGAAATAACCGGATTGGAAAAGACTACAATTTCGCGCTTGATACAACAAGAAAATGAGCTACGAGAAGATTGGGCACGATGTGAAGGGCGAGGTGGAACTTCCAAAAAACGAAAGCGGAAAGGCAAAAACTCAGACATCGATGAGGCCCTTAATGAATGGTTTGCCATTGTTACTGGACGATCTGAGCGAGTAAGCGGCCCAATGTTAAAATGCAAAGCAGAAAATCTCGCTAAAAAGCTGATACACGATGACTTTAAAGCTACGGACGGTTGGCTGTCTCGATGGAAATCTAGAAATGACATAAAATTCAAGAAAGCACATGGCGAGAAAGAAAGTGCTGATACCACAATTGCTGAAGAATGGAACTCAGAAAAACTGCCCGAGCTTCTTGAAAATTTTTTAGCAGATGACAATGCTACAATGCTGATGAGACTGGGCTGTATTATCGTGCTACACCGGACGACTCGTTAGGTTACAAATATGTTGCACTCTCTGGTTCCAAAAAAGCGATGGATCGCGTAACTGTCTTGTACTGCTCAAACATGTTAAGAACGTACAAGAGGAAGCTGTTGGTTATAGGAAAAAGCACTAAGCCTCGCTGCTTTAAAGGATGGAGAGTTCACCAGGTGTGTATCGTGCGAACAGAAATGCGTGGATGACCTCTGAACTTTTTAAAGAATGGCTGAAGGATACGGACAGAGAGCTACAATGCCATTGGGGAAAAGTGCTGCTTCTTCTTGACAATTGTGCAGCACATACTCATTTAGATTGCTTAATGAACGCCCAACTGGAACTGTGCAATCCTTGCTTGGGTTATCTTTGATGTAGTGATTCATTGGGAGCAAAATTTATCTTATCTGTCTTATTATCGAATTTTTTAGGAAGGTCCACCGCATTAATAAAGTCCACTTTGTAATACGTTTAGAGAGTAAATCGAAAGAATTTGGTCTTTTTTCGAATCCATATCTAAATTCATATCCTCAGAATCATAATCCCAAACCACTTCGTATCGTTATCCATACCAAGAATAGAAACACGGAATCGCAAATCACAAGCACATCGAACGCAAGATACCAGCACGGAGTCACAGAAGCAGCTAATTTCCCATCTTGCAGTGATGATGTCCAACAGTCGGATCGGCTCATTCCTCCTTTTCTAATGAGAAAAGTCTCCGAGGTTGATAGCTGTAGTGCTGAAGTACTAAAGGTTCAGTATTTGAAACTTATCACACGTTGTTCAGAGTCTATAATCCTGTTTATATGACCTTAAGTAAGATGAAGAAAATAAAAGGAACTGAATGCAGTATTTAAGAATTTTGATATAGCATTTGTAGAATGCGGATTGCCCGATGCCTGTTACGTGAGTACTCAGTCACCTGAGTACAAAAGGCGGTAAACAGTCCAGCGTCTCTCTCTATAAGGCTTGATCAGGATTTAGGAGAACCAATCCTCTAGCGGCAGTTATTGAACTAGAAAGTTTCAAAGGTGCATGTAACTGCAGGTTGCAATCCGATATGACGTTCAAAATAACATACATCCTTTTCCAATCATGCGAATTTGGCATTTTGCTTCGTGATGAGGGTAAGATAAGCCTGCAACACCGTGTTGTAATCCGGGATGTCCTAGCAGCACGCGCATGATGACGTTCGTCTAACGCTTTCTAAACACGTCAATGATACACACTGAAGCACACGGATGACTCCATGTCTTGCAGTTCGGAATGACATCAAAGTAACAAGTGATCTAAAGCACATGGTTATAGAATGTGAGCTCCTTAATACGCAGAGTTTGGATTAACATCTTCAGATCGATCTCGTTTGACAGGTAAGGTAAATTTAAATTATGTTTTTTCGGATGTTGAAGTGCTAAATCGAAAATAAACATTTTGGTTGCAGCAGATCATGCATCTGAGAATAAAAAGTAAGACCATTTAACTCAGGAGGCTTTTGCATCCATACTTTACATTTTTTTCATTTTCCTTTCCAATTCGTTATTAAGGTACTTATCAGTATATAATTCGGCAGAGATTACCTAAATATTCTTAATGAATTTCAGATATCAGTTCATTTTTTATGAAGTGTATATTCTACTTCTGAGAGGAGGGAGACAATTCCAAATTATGATCAAAGTTCAGATTTCTATAAATGAGTGCAACATATACTCAGCTTCACATAATGAGAACAAAAGAGAAAGTATTCGTTTGAATTCAGTTATTTTAACGAAAAGATATTAATTTTCTAAATACATTAAAACACGTTTGTAATGAAATAGTAGTTTACCACTCAGCGTGTACAGTGTGAAGTATGTAACACTCAGTGTCATTCAGTAACAACTTTCAGTGTTAACATTTTGCCAGTCAATGTGGCTGTGTAAAAAGTTCGGATACCATACGTTTCGTCAGTGTGATTGTGTAAAACATTTGAATAGGCTCTAATGTTATGTAAGAACTAAAAAATTAAATTTGTTATACGGCAGAATATCACAAAAGTAGACAATAAATAATCATATCAAAAACTTACTGTTGCGGCGAGACTAACTTTTAAATATTCAATGTTCAAATATTTCCAAAACTATGAATATTAACGTAACAAAATCATGCGGATATTCATTAATCGAAACTATATGAAACACTTTATTTCATGTGAGGTTTTCCCCTTAGTTTATAAAATTTTATTCCCTTTTAAAACAAATTCTATTATATGTGTCTGATACTAATAGAATGTGAGCTAAGGCTAATGCATTTCATCTAACAAGATCATAAGAATCACGGGATAAACCAGGAAAAATATTTACATGAATCCTCCCATAAAATATATATATATAAGGTGCAGATGTTAAGATCTTATATTAAAAATGTTTAAAGTAATTAAGTAACTGTTTGAAGTATAATTACAAAAGATTTATTCATTTTGGCAAGAGAGATTAAACATTATTTTTACAATACTGCTTTTTATGATAATCCGATGAAGCCTTATTGCATTTTTTATCCATAAAATAGAACTTTTAAAAAATTAAATACCGTAAATATTGCATAAATTACTAAAATATCAGTAGTGATTTATTTATTATTTATACTGAAGAAATAATTTTATTTTTATATCAAAGGCATGGTTACGTGTGCTTATAATTTTCCAAAAGAATATTTTGATGTCATTTTATTGAAATTAAAACAAAAATAGCTGTAGAAGAGAAAACAGAAACTAGAATTCAAAAGTAATAAAAAAGGATCTTTGCAAACTCTTTTATTGAAAATAGTGAGAATTTTATCTTATAAAAAGCTCTTGTTATTTTTATCACATCCAAGAAAATATATAAATAACTGACAAGAAGAAGAATGATAGCAGTAATATAGGACCATAAAACATAAGTTTGTTTGCTTCTTTTTAGTTCTTACTGAAATGCTGAATTTCATTTTCCTCAAAGTGGAACGATTTCTTGAAATGGTTGCTCACATGGTCGTATAAGGTGAAATATTTTTTACGACGAGTCGGCGCTTTTGAGTTTCATGTTTTATGTTCGATTTCTTGGGTAACAATGGCTTGTTGAAATCCAGACCTGAAAGAAAGTGTTCCAACGTATCCCATCCTCCACCTAAACGCACCACAACGTTATTTCCTCGAACAATCTAGGAAAAAAAATGTTAATTAATCTAACTAAAAAAGTTATATAAGATAAAATTTAGTTTGGAATTCATTTTTTGAGTACTTTAAAATTTAACTTCAATTAAAAAATAAAAGAAAACCAAGCCTGAAAGAGATTTTTTGCACAATGACCCAAGCTGGTTCTCTAGAAAAACAAAACATATTTTGTATATACACATTGATTCATAAGCCGTAAGTACCTGAAATATGTCAATCTTAAAGATACCATTTTAATCCTGTTTATCTAAAAGATTCTACACGTCTCCCAAGTAGCATATGACGTTGCAAAGACGTTGCAAACTGGTCCGAGAGGTTGCAAAGTGGTCGTGGTAACTTTTACGACGTCTTTTCAACGCGGTGAAGACGTAAAATGTTTGCCGTTGCATTTTGGGAATTTCTCGACGTCGTTCAGACGTTGTGAGCTGACCGCCTTTAGGCGTGGTCGTTTTTGGCATTTCTTTCCTCGCGTTCGAAGTGCATGCGTGGATTTTATGTTTTCGCAAGTGCTGGTGACTTTTCTTCGTATAAAATGGAGAAACGAAAATCCCCCACGAATTTCTACTTCATGTGACTTAACGAAGGCGACTCGCCGCCATGTGTTAGGCTTACCCTTGGACATTACCTCCGAGGCTACATGAGTTAGGCTTGCCCTCGGACTTTTTTCGTCGACTGATGGCGGCCACCTGACTTTTACTTTCGTCTTTTTTTTTTTTTTTTTTTTTTTTTTTTTTTTTTTACTGATGTGTCATTGGAAAAAATACTTTTCTCCATATAAAGATATATATGACAATAAAAAATTCATATTACAGCAAATGAACTTGTGTGATAAATCTAAAATGACTCGAAGGTACAGCAGTGAACTTTTAATTTTTGCATATTCTTTATACATGAAATCCTCATCATGCTATTCTTTGTTGTATGCCATCAACCGATCATTGACGTTCAAGCATTCTGAATTTCGACAATTCGTTACAAAATGTGACTACAAAATAGTACATGAGTGAAAAATTTAACAAATTGAACGATGAAAATAGAATCGCAAATCTACTAATTGATTAAATCTATGTAAAGAAATCAATTGCTTATAAAAGGAAATCAGTATCAGGTTTTGCAGAAAATAAGTACGATACTGAAGCTGACACTGTACAAGCTTTCATAATAAGCTCTATTTTATTCATCTTATAAAGAAACTATTGCTTTAGTTCCCGATAATAATTTGAATTCAGATTATGTTGCGTGACCCGCAAGCTCTTCATATTCTGGTCGAAGCAGGTTTTTCAGTTGCTTTGATGATTTCTGATAATAATAGAATAAACAGAAACATGTTTCAGAATTTAGGTCGTAAAAAGTGTCAACTCGTGTCAGCAACCTTGAAAATAACGAGAAAAAATTTTTCTTACTTTTTGATTCTGTACACCTTTTGAAATAAGAAATAATTTTATTAATCAGTTACACACCCAAAAACATGTTGATAATCGATTAAAATGTATAATGCCTAAATTTTCGCATCTAAGGAATATATATCATAAGGATAAGACGTCAATTGTAAAAATGCACTGTAAACCATAAAATAAAACAGCATAATTCAAATAAAAAATAGTTTAAAATAAAAAAATCTGGGTATTTAAAGCCATCGCAAAAAATGTAAGCTTTCAAAATTATTTATCTAACTTTAAAATAATTGTTCATGTCAACATAATCATATTATATAATTATGATATAATCTTGATGTTTAAAACACTTTTCACTACTGAAAAGAGTCTTTTTTTTAACTTTATGGTATTAAAATCCCCCAAAATAGTATATATGTAAATTAAAATGTTTATTAATAAGAGTTTATCTATTCGCATAAGAGTGAAATAAAAAAATGATTGTTTGCTTATTTATATTCATGAAAATATATTTCTAATATAGAAAATAATAGGTCTTAGACGTAAATAGAATTATTATAAAAAAGTTTCATGTTTCTAGTAAAATCTGGATATTAAGCCCTTAACAGCATTAAACACGATGCTGCGATTATTCGTTTAAATGAATAAGGTTCTTTGGAATTGGATTTTTCATTTTCAAATGCTTGATTTACATGAATTTAATAACATTTGATTCTACTATGATACGAGTGTTTCAGGTTTTTGCTATGAAGAATATGTTTTGGAAATTAGTTAATGGCATTAATGCTCTTTCAAACGATGTAGTTATTGTTAAAATTTGGTCTATATGAGTCTATTCATAACAATTGCAGTTCTGAAAATGAATTCAAAAAGCTAATATTCTCCTTATTCATAATCATGATAGTATATTTTTTAAATAGGTAATAAAAAACTTTGGATGTAATTAGAATTATTATAATAATATTTTTTATGATTTTTGTAAAATTGGATATTTAAGCCCTTTATAGCATTTAAAACAATGCTGAGGTTATTTGTTTAAATCAATAACGTTCTCTTCAAATATATTTTGCGTGTTCAAGGATATGATTTATATAAATTTTATCGCAAGTTTCAGTCCGATATAATCAGGGAGTTCAGTAGTTTTGTTTTGAATATTCATAAATGGCATTAAGTTTATGTGAATCTACTCTTGTATATTGTTTCTGAAAAGAACATCAGATAAGAAAATATGTACCTATTTATAATCTTCTAACCTCTGTGAATGTGTGTATAGGTTATATAAAAATGTTTGGAGTAAATGTTGGATATTCGAAACTTTTGTATTAAAACTATTTAAAACAATAAAAACAATGTTGCAGTTACTGATTTAAATAAGAATATTTTGAAACTCAGTGTTTAATATTAAAATGTGTGGTTTATGAGTGTTGACATACAATTTAAATATTTTATTGTATGGCATTTAAATGTTTTATTGTATTATGTTTTATGTTATTGGCAGAATTTAAAATATAGTTACATATCAAAGACATGAGAATATCTTCAGACTATGTTTATTTTATAGCTACATGAGCGACATACCATAGTCACCAAACACCACTCTCGCAATATATCCAGAAGACACAGTGGTTCTGCCACAAAAGACACAGTGGATTCATTTCTTAGCCCAGTCATACGACACGTGCAAACTCACATTCAGGTATTTAAGTCTTTTTAATAAAATATAAAATTCAAGTCAAAAGATAGAAATCAGACGCGGTAAGAAGAAGAAACTAAACAATAATCTCAAACTATCGGAACTCTTGGTAGCCTGGGCTAAGCAAGCCACTTAACGTGATACAAAAATTCACTGATGTAAATAACACTCATTACATCTATTATCAATATCTTTCGATTGCGTAAAGCTAAATTGTTTCCTTTAATTGCTCGAAATAACGTTTTATCTATTCATCATAAGTTACTCATTTACAAATGCATTCTACGTGCAGTGCTATATTATGTCTGCCGTGCCTAGGCATATTTATAGAGAACTAATGGCAACACATTTTAAACTTATTCTGCGACAGATTATAAACCTTCCATGGTATACAAGAAATAATAGGATTCATTAAAAGTTGAACATTATGCAGATACACCTTTAAAACACCTTTTATTATTACGTTGCTTAAAATTTTCACAACACTCAATGCACTATTAGTAATGAAGCAATGAAAATTTTCAAGTATGATATCAATGCATCTATTAGCAGCAAAAGACCTAAATATATTTTAAGTACCAGTATCTCCAGTAATTACTATATAATTAATTAAAAAATCATATAGCACCATTTAACCACATTTCCTGTATTATTTTTCCTTATTCTTATCATCAAAACTAAAATTTAGTAAAACATAACTTGAATGCCATAAACATTCGAATTATGTTAACAATTATTATGAACAGTTATTTTTGCCATAAACATTCGAAGAGAACATTTATTTAATAGGGGTATGGTTTTCTGTACTGTTGCTTTGGTGCTTTCCTGTTTGAGCTGACATGTTGAACTGGGCCTGTTGCTGGCTTTTAAATCGCTGAGTTTGTTAATCAAAAATTTATTCAATTCGTAGAAATTTTGAAATAAACAGGAAATAAAAAATTCAGTCTTCGAGGTGGACATGTTTGGTTGGTGTTCACACATTTCTTAGACGCTTTTGCTTTGCTATAAAAATTGTCTACTAGGAAATTTGTTTAACTACAATTATATTTTTGAAAGTATAAGTTATCGTATGCTGTCTAATAGTTTTGTTTTCATTTTGTTTGTTTAGAAGCAGTAGATGAAAGGCTATGTTTGTGCCTCTTTCCAAAAAAATGTTTCGCATCTAGTCATTAAAAAACGTTGTGAAAGGCCATGATTTTCGAATATCTAAAGCTACGATAGGTAATATTTCAAAAAGAAAGGTAAAAAACGTCAACGTTTGGCTTCATGCTGAAACATTGTTCTGTATACATATACAAGTAAAAAAACGGAATGTTTCGAATGTTGCAAAGCTAATATCTTTAAAGTTATAAGAAAATCCGCCAAGGACAGTAGAAAAATCATTAAAATGCTCAGTGTCAACTGTAAACAAAGTGATTAATGCTAATTTGATTCACAAAAAGGCGAAACAACACAATGTACATTGTCTTTCTACACGACCCGAGCGCAGAATGCTCTGTAGAATTCTTTATGAGAAACATTTATCCGGACAAAAATTGAAAGATGTTGCCACGATAGATGAATCTTGGATATATTTAAATAACTGCAGTAAAACGAGATCTAATTAATACCATCCAAGAGGATTAAAAAGTCTTGAAACATGGTTCAAAGAATCTAAAGGAAGTTTTGCAAAGAGATTTATGATTGTTGCCAGTTTTTCATGTAACAGAAAATAAAGAGAGTGGAGAAACGTTTTAAGATCAACTTCACATATTATCAGGAACATATTTTTACCCAATTTTCAAACAAGAAATACCTTCTCTTTACACACAGTGCCATTAATCAGTAGATCTGCCTCAAGACAAAGCAAGCAGCCACACATCAAAATCTAATGTTAATTTCCTGGCAAAAATTGAACAAGAAACTGGTATCAATGCCATACCCTTCATTCATATCCCTGATGTATCACACATAAATTTTGGAGTTTTGAGACTTTTAAAAAGCGGATTATCCAGATAACCTATAACCCTCTTGGATTTTTGAAAACTGTTAAAAAGGAATGGGATAAAATACCTCTCCTGATACTATAAAAGGCTTTAGTGTCTTGGAAATTAGGGTGTAGAAAGATAGTGAAGATTAATGTTTATCAAATAGAAAATGAAATACAAAAAGGTTTAGGTAAAATATTTCTGTAAATACAATGAAAATCGTCTAAAAATGTGCGAACAACCTCTGTATACTTTAAAAGGAATGACTGTTAGACGATTTGAAAATTAAACTGGAGATTTCTTGAACCTCTAATAATGTCAATTAAAGGACTACATAAGTAGTAAACAGAGATATAAATGCAATAGGTGAGAGTACCTTATCTACTTATAATGTCAATTTTTCTTTTAAAGAACATAGCAAAACTGCTTTTAATTCCTTTTAACTTACCCGAAGTAATACATTTTTATCTCCAAAAATATAATGACCCTCTGAGATGCGTCGAATTTTGTTTTCATCTTTATTGTATTGACGAGCTACTTCCAACACCTAGAAAAGGAAAATTTTAAAAATGCCGTTATATTTAATGACAAAGAGAAAAGAGAGAGAATTGAACGGTTATTGTGTTATGAAACACTAATTTTAATTTTTAAAGAAGTTTAGCACATTAATTGAATATTTGTTATATCTAATTTGCTACATAAAAGACTTAGCTTAAAATTGACTCAAAAGAACATCTCATTAAGAAATCATCTATTTTATGCTATATAAACCACTTAGTTTATTTTATTATTTAGGTCACGGAATCATATAGTTTATCTAACTGTACAAAAAATAATCATTATGATGGTTTTCTCAAGAGTAACTGGTGGAAGAAGGACCCAAACGAAATTTAGGTCTCCATCCCCTTTGGATGCATTTGCAAAATTTAGGATTTAAATTTAGGCAGATAGCCTCTGTGTGCTTTGGATAAATTAAATATCTATTTAACCTATCGTAACTGGAAAGGTAAGTGATAAATCTCACACCTCGTGGAGTGGCAACAACTCGGAGAACTGGCAATGGTAGTTTACCAGTCCGAAAGTTTGACTAAAGGAAAGAGGACGATATAGTATTTTAATGCAATGCGGCTTGACAAACTGAAAGACTATCCTCCAGATGCTTTTAATTTTAAAAAACGAAACAGTTGAATCAGAAATCACTGAATCACCAAATTTTCCTTTCTCTGCGACTCCCTTCTTTTCTTAATATGCATTTTGCACTGACGAGAGTAAACTAACTTCTTGATACTCAGGAATACTGATAAACCATATATATTATAGTTGTGTAAAAGTATGAAAGATTTTAAATAAAGACGGTAATTATTCATAATATAAAACACATGTAATCCTCTCGTACTTTTATAATTTGTGTACATTATTAAAACATTCACCACGTGTATTGCGTAGATAATCAGTGTCATCCAGAAAATGAGAAGGGTGAAGCATTTATCTGGTGGAAAAATAAGAGGTGACGCAAAATTAAAATATAAAAAATTCAACATTAGTGTAAAAGTTATTAAAAACCATTCAAGAAACGCAATTTCAAGTTTTGCTTTAGGGGCTGAAATCTGTTATTATACATAAAAGTGATCTGCTGTGAAATGAACAGTCTGTCTCTTTACTTTCAGTGAAGTCAAGCAACTCTAGGCTACTGCCACCCATTTTTATCCCATATTAGGCATAAAAAATCTATTTATGACACCGCTGATCAGAATAAATCTTTCAGGAAATGAGATCTTACATGAAAAGTCTTTGACGTTATTGAAAGGATAACGATCAGTTGAGATGGATAAGTCGAAGTATTATAATTCATCACAAATTATTATTAAAATGCAGTAAATTTTATCATTTAAATTTTATCATTTAATACTGAAATATGCTTTAAGAATTAAATAATCCGTATATAAGATGTTTTCACATATATGACAACCCTGACTTGGAAAGCATAAGTAACAGATGTGTTTATATACACAATTTTTGCATTACATAAAAAGGGTTGACATATATGCGCTGTCTCATTAAATGGTTTCTATAGTAAAACTAATTAAAATAATTTAATTCAAGAGTAAATATCTTTTTAATGTAATATGTAAGAGACCATTAATAATTTATCATTGTTTATTTTTAAATGCTTATCCATGCATGCAAAAGAGTATGGTTTTCATATTATTTTCAGAAAATAATACTACTTATGTGAGGTAATTACCAATAAAAGAAATTCATTATCTAATCGTCAAATTAGTAAACATTTTGTTTCATTAAAACGGAATAACTATTTGATTGGTAACAAAATGATAATGAAATTGACTGTAATTCTGGAATGTACAAAGTTGGTAACTTACATTTTGACTCATAAATAATAAAATAAAAAAATACGAGCTATATAAACAAAAACATTAAAAAATGTTAGACAAGCTAAGGGAAAAAAATCTATATTTTATTGTTGTATTCAATGGAATTGTTAGATAAAGGTTTAGTCCGAGTATATGTTTTTAAAATGAATATATAATAAGTGGGAAAATAAGCTGTAGTTTTATATTCTGCCACAAAAGAACATAGAGCAATAGAATTGACGCAAAGCATGCAATAAAAACTTAGAGTAATTAGAAATGCGGATAAAAAATCATGTGATAACAAAAAGGAGTCAAAGCTACCTTTTTGTCGAGAGCTGATCGCTTCCTTTGCGCCAAGAGAGGAACGCCATCCAAGTGCAGCTTGTTGTTTCTTTCCATCAAACTCCTGGATGACGCTATGGATGATGAACTTCTGCTGAGATTGGGATTAGATCTTATTCTGCTGCTGATAGTTTCCGTTCTCACCGACGAAGAGCTACGTCTCAACGATGGAGACGAAGTTCGTGGAGAGAATACTTTTGACATTGTATTTTCTGCCAGATAGTTGTCTGAACGGCTTCTGACCACCACTACTACGTTCTTGTCCTTTTTCCGCAAGGGAATCGAGCTGCGCTTTAGAGAAGAACTAGGTGATGAGGTTTTAGAGTAAACTGAACTTGGAGAAGGACTTCTGGGTCCACTAGAGCATCCGGAATCCCATCGTTGAATTTTGGTTGGGGGATGTATTGAAGCAGAGAAAAAGAATTCATCATCTGAGCAATCTGACATATCATCTGTCACAGCTATAGTTGAAGTCGGTGAAAGCTGAATAGGAGGAGGGAGCAGAATACCATATTTTGATGCCAATCGAGAGAGCTCCAAGAGACATAATATTACAGTACGTGGTTGGGTTTGCAGAACTACAATATAAAAATACCTGTTTTAAATTCATGAAAGACAATATTATTTCTTGTATTACTACATGACGGTAAAGAGATTATACAGACAATAACTTATGTTTATAAATAACAGCTCTTCAGTTAAGAGCGGCTAAAGTATTTTACGCGTTGAAAAGTGATTGTTTAATTTGTGCGGTTTTGCCTAGATGCTCAAGAAAGTAAAATGTTTTACACCTTCTCCTGCCATCTGAGATGTAAGTAACCGATCAGAATCGTATTTGATGTTACTTTATAGCATCTAGAACAGCGGTTCCCAATTTGGGCTCCGCCGAGTCCTCAAGAATCCTCGTCCGCTAGAGAAAAATAAAATAAAAGCGTGAAACTGGAAAATAAGAAACAAGAACAATAACAAAAACAACAAAATATTGATTATATTTTGAAGGCAAAAATTCAACAAGTTGAATTTCATGTCGCCTCTAGCAGCCCAAACTTGGCCATTACTTGGAAATGCATATTTATGAAGTTTCTCTTTCATTCTCGATCCTTCGAAAATTCTTTGAATTCGCTGGAAACTTAACCCCCATAAATACAGGTGGCTTGTCGTTTTAGAGTCTATTCTCAGTGAAATACCACCGAAAATATCGCGATTCCTTAGCGATTCTGCCCCGAATTTTCTGTTTCCTTATGGGTTTAGTTGTATAGCCAGCAAGTTTTTATTAAGGAAGATGATAATACAATTAATGAACAATATGAAAACGCAACCTGTTAAAACCAGATTTTATATACTAATGAGTGAAAAATCTGAGAAGCCACCATGAGTTTCTCCTGTTGCATATTAAAGTAAGATGATTGTCTTGAGAATGGCCTGGTGATGCAGTGGTTATCGTGTCGCGCAGCAGCATCATAGGTCCGGGGTTCGATCCCCGGGCTGGGAAAGCTAGCTTGACTCAATCTTTCATCCTTAAGTGGGTCGATTAAAAATGAGTACCAAGTTCGCTTGGAGACTAAACAACGGTGCTCCTGCGACAAGCTGACCACCTGTCCAGGGCGCATGTTCACGCAGCCCTGAGCCCATGATCCGGAAAGAATGATATCGGGGCATTGCAGGCCATGACCCCCTAGGGATGTTGTGCCACTGAGTTTAGTTTTAAACTGTCTCGAGGGCGTTGACATATTCACAAAAAAGCAACTACTAGACTTTCATTAAAAGTTTTTGAGCTTTTTAATGTAATTTCCTAATTTAGTACGTACACTGCAGAGGGAGTACACTATAGTTGCATAATAATAAAATTAAATTATAATTTTCTTTTAGAGAGGGTTTAAAATTTTCAAATAATAAATCATGAGCGATATTTTTTGAACTAAACGCATGTAATTATTAACTTAGAGAAATCGAATTTATTAGAACGATTTCAGTGATGCTCTCAGGAGCAATGCAAAGTATTTGTTGTAACATAAGTAGGTATATTTTATTGAATTTTGGAAAACCTTTTATGAACAGTTAACATTTAACAGTATCAGGTTAAGAATAAATTGAGATATTATGGTAACATAATTTTTGAAACATAATTTTACTTCATTGATATTATTCAACTGTTTAGATTTCTCATTACTTTACATTCCCTTATATTCTACCCGTGTAATAGGTAGTATACAATAGCACAGCATATACTAACACGTATGTGTTTATAATGACACTAAGTAAGGCATATAATAGCATTTCCTACCCATGTAGTAATACAGTTCTTAAACATCAATGACTTACAAGTTGAGAAGTGGCTCTGGCTCTGTGAGTCAAAAATTTTGGGAACATAGAATATGTAAATATGTTCGATATTTTTACTAATTTCTCAGATTGAAGTAGCTATCAACTAAAGCTGCTAGATTTCAAGCTGCTGGTATCATATTAACGATCACAATTCATTCTTACCAATTCAAATATGCATTAGCATCAACACAAGTCTACTAGCTATCAAGCTTTTTAGTAATTTTATGATTAAAAAGGAAATAAATTATGTATCAAAATTAATTAAAAAGTTTATTAAGAAAGTTTAACAGCTTCAAACTACATTCAGTGGGTATATATGAAATAACTAAAAGCACATTTATTAGAAACGATAACAACGAAACACAATTTGAAAAATTTTCACATCGAAATAATATATCTCTACAGATGGCTTTAGAACTGAATGTAGATTTCGCAGTTGTTTTATAAGGATGACGTTTCAATTAGATGTTAATGGAAAAGAAATCTTGATAATAAAAATCATATATCCCAAACAGAAGTATTAGATTTAATTAAAGAAACTGAATATATTATTATAAACAATAATATTGATTCAAATAAGTTTACTATGTCGATAATATTACAATATTTTTAGAAGTTTTAACAGTCACCACACATCGCCATTAATCCATAGGATCCAATGTTTGTTACGATAAAATAACTTCATGTCAAAATTTGTTGAATAAAATTCATGTTAGAATACATGGTACTGGTACTAAGTTAGCGGGTCAGTTAGCGAAAGAGGCCACTGAAAATGATAATGAAGAGCATGTTTTTAATCTCCAGTCTTCGAACACATCTTTAAAAATACCTTCTGACAATAGCACGTAAAACTATGGTATCAAAAATGGATTACTTTTGAAAAGGGCAAAGGCGCTTTTCAACAAACATGGCATACTTGCTGTGTTTTATAATAAACATGGATTTTCTAATGTTGGTCATAATACGTATGAGGAGACATGTTCCTTTACAAAATGTTATCATATTAAATTTCCTGCAGCAAGCATTAATTCTTTTATAAGGTATTCTAATTAAACAAAGACCTTTTTGGTCATAAAATATGCAAAATTATAAAATTACTTTCTACGTGAGCAGACAATTATGAAATAACTCAAAAAATAGAGAATGTAACGCTATGTAATCAGAAATATAAAATTGCTTTCTACTTGAGAAGACAATTATGAAATAACTAAAAAAATATAGAAAGTAACGATATGCAATCAGAAATATATACTATACGTAATTGTCGGCATCTTTAAAATTTCTGTATGTAGTGTTTTACTTACGGATTCAAGGCGCAAGAACCTTTGTGAAAGGAAGATTTATGAATGATTTACTTTATAAGCTTAATGAGCTTTACGACAAATTTTTTACTATACGACATTTTATGAACTTTATATACATATATATATAGAAAGAGAAAAAGTTCATAAATCACTTTCATTTTCCTTCAGTATCAGTTTCAGTGGCCCCTTTTGCTAACTGATCTGCTACACTCCAACATGAATTTTATTCAACAAAGTTTGAAATGAAGTTTCAAACTGCGTTGTATATTGTAATAAACACTGAATTTTGTAGACTAATGATGATGCGTGATGACTATTAAAACTCCTAAAAGTATTGATCTATTATCGATACAATAAACTTATATGAATTAATGACTTTATTATTTATGATATATTCAGTTTAACTGTATCTAATACTTATGTTTAGGATCCGTTATAATAAATGTATATTTGAAGCCCGCCATATTTACGGAGAATATAGCTTGAAATCTTAAGGAAACAATAATAGAAAGAATTCATGGAATAGATTCTTATTCTAATCGAAAGACTTCTGTTGAGAATCGAATCTAAGATTCGACTGTAAATTATGAATTTTATGATTCCTTAGGACAGGAATGTCAGACATGATATACTAATATTTCTTTATATGTATTCATGACGATGACTGCAGTTGAAAATCACACGTACTATAACATTTTTACGTTAAATAAAAATGTGAATATATATGTAATATATATATACGTATATATATATATGTGATATAATACGAGTATAAGTGATTTTACACTGTAGTCATCGACATGAATACACATAAAGATATATTAGTATATTTTGTCTGACACCCTAGTCTAAGGAATCATAAAAAGTTTAGGTACAGTCGAATCTCAGATTCTATTTTTCAGTAGAAGTCTTTCTATTAGAATAAGACTCCATTCCATGAATTCTTTATATTATTGTTTTTTTAAGATTTCAAACTGTATTCTCCATACACGTGACGGGCTTAAAGTATATATTTACTAGAAAGGATCCAAAAAATTCTTTTTTTTAAATTTATTTGAATATATCACTAATAAATTATTTGAATTAGGTACATGACTCATAGAAATTAATATTTTAACTTTAGATTCCATCAACAGTGAAAATTATATTTTTTCTTAAAATATAAAAATAAACGATAATTGCTCTTATTTACAAAACCATTACCAAAATTTCTGCTCAAAATTTAAACTCACTACTATATTAGAGTTAAAATAAAATTATTCATGTGCATAGAACAGCAACAGAAATTTAGAAGATGATATATTGTGTACAATAACAAAAATGAAATGTTTATCATGAGTTAAAAGCAAGAAAGCAGAAAGAAACGATACATGTTTGTTATTTTAATACATAAAAAATTTATATGTAAATTTTAGTTACAGTTTTATGAATGAAAAGGGGTGTAAGAATTATATTAATTTATCTAACAGTTAAATTTTGAGTTAAACTTAATTTCCTATCATTTTTGAATTTCATCTTACAACTTCTGGCCAGAACGTAGTTTTAGAATTACGCTTGAATGCAAATTGAGGAAGAGCGATATTTAACCGCGAAGTTCTACTGTCTTAGTTAGAGAGAACCAGAGATTCTGGCTAGCACGCGACCACCTTTTTCGGCTACTCTTTCTTAAGCTATTATTACGCTCAGCCGTACTTTAGGCCCTTGATAGCTTCGCAGTTCAGCGTTAAGGGGGCCAACTCTGTCAAACTTGTTATAGCTTCGGCTACATCTTTTTTAGTTAAGATTAGTTTAGTTTAGTTCTTAGTTTCTTAAGTTCAAGCCTGAGTGTCGGCTTTATTGTACAACTCCAAGACGGAGTTCTGTTAAACATTATTTGAATAATAAAGGGTGTTTAACTCTTTTCAAGTTTTGGTTACTGTCTCACGAACTCAAGCGATTATTTGCTTACT